AATTAGAGCTTAGTCTTGGGTCTGTCTCATTACAAAACTTGCACTCTCTACCATCCCCCAGCACCTCGTGGAATATTTTCCCAGGGGTAATATTTCTGTTCAACCATAGATGGAGCACAGAGCAGAGAAAAAGAAAACAAAAAGATTGCTTTGCCTAGAGAACTGTTTTTCCCTCTCAATATGGTACACGGTTTTGTTTTATAATTAGCATTCTGCTGATGAGATCTCTCATTGGTGAAGGCTTACGAGTAAGATTTCCATGAAAAGCAAGCACTGCAGGAAATAAATTAATCTCTAGGGAAGAAGAGGGGCGAGGTTGTCAGTGCTCACACAACTTCCTAATAGGAAATGATATTTCAGAATTGTTCAAAGAATGAAATGGCTATGGGTTGTCCTTGCAGCACATTCTTAAACATTTAAATCGTCTGAGAAGAGGGAGATAGGCTGCCATAAAATGAAGAGCAATCTTATAACATTTTTCTTTAGGGTGTCAGTATTTCCAAACTAAAATAGCCTTATCTAGAAATGTAAAATAAATTCTACTAATATAATTATTTTGTTTATATTATTAAATATCTGCATTGATGTTAAATATAAAGATGAAGGGACAGATTTTTAAATCATTGGTTGAAAATCATACAATATTTTAAATAACAGATTTTCTAGACTTTGGAATAAAAGTAATTTTTGCACTTAGAACACTACTTAGAATAAACCTGAATTTGAGGTGTTTCTTCTTTAAAATTAAGAGACAACAATGTGTTTTATGATCTAAACTACCTACCTCTTGATCCCATATAATCAGCCTTTCAATTAAGGTCTTTAATATAGAACCCCCAACTTGTCTAATCCTCAAAATGGTCCCGATAGGAAACTACTTATGTTTTATTTTCCATGATACAAATAGGATCTGAAGTTTATGTTAAGCATTTATGTTAAACTAAAGCTACAGAATCATTCTTTATTCTCTAGCTTCGACCTTGGCCTAAGTGGAGAGCTTTCCCAGGGAGTTTGTTTTTTTCTGACCTGTTTAAATTTCCAAATTAAGTAAGATCTTAGATGTGGTGAATTGCCTGTATGTGAGTCTCAGAGATAAGACCATTTGAGTCCAACAATTTCAATGCTCTAACTCAGAGTAAGCCATAGGATCACAGGCTTTTAGAACTGATAGGGCATACAGATTATCTGGTATACCCACTATTTTGATGGAGAAAGTCAAGCTCAGAGAAATGAAATGGCTTCTGAAAGGCTAAGAATCCAGGTTGTGGTAGAACTGGGACTCAAACTTGGAGTGCCTGGGTTTCATTTTCTAGCCCAGGGTTTGTCTTACTACCTGACTAGTCTAATTTATGAAGGACAAACAGTAGCACAGATTTAGTCTAAAGTTGTAGGGAAAATTCAAAGACCACAGTCGAAGTTACAAAAGGAAGAAAATCGCATTGGAAAATATGGATCAGGAGAGTGTAACATTTGCTTATTAGAAAACATTTATGTTTATGTAGGACAAAAACAAATAAGCATATTTAAAAGGTCATCCTTCCTGGCAATGATTTGAGTTTCTAGAGAGACATAAGGAGGAAAAAGGAAAATGGCCCCTTGTTTAGCCCAGAAGATAACTGGAAGCAATGGCAGCAATTAATGAGTGACCCACATAATAATCAGATCCTCCTCAGAACTGAATAATCATCCTTTTGTACCTAATGGCTGTGCCCTTGGCTGAAAAAAGCCACATTGCCCATAACCACAGACTCTCCTCAGGGACAGCTGCATCCAATGATTGTTTGATGCAGGGGGTATAAAAGTCTGTTCCCCACCCGCTAATTCAGGACAACCCTGAAGAACCATGCCAACTCCAGAGCTCCCTATGGGATCAGTTGAGGTCTTTGTTGTGACTATATCATGATTCAATTTTTCCCTCTGCCCAAATCTGCTTCTGGGACTCTGCCTCAAGTGCTGTTCCTGAGAGCACTTCCCAACCAACTTTCCACATGTAAATCAGCCCAGGGAACTGGATGCAGCAAATAGTACAATGAAAACATTTCCACTTAACACACTAAAAATAGACCTTAAGCTGAATAAACATTGAAGCCCTATGCTCCTCCTCCGCTATTGCTGCTGAAGTAAGATGGGGAAAGAGTCCATTAGGGAGAATCAGGGAATCCATGTCTCTACACAATTGGAGTGTTTCTTTTACTGTGAGGAATCAGTGACATTATCAAAGAGGGTTTCTCATCCCCTCCAATGTTCATAGAATTCACAAAGGCCATAACATCTCCAAGAGCATACTGTTCTCAAAGGCAAAAAATGCAGACAGAAACTCAGAGACTAAAAGATCCATAACATGAAGTGGCCACAGCCAGCAATTTACAGAGCATATCGTAGGAAAACAAAGTTTTCCTTAGCAACCAATTTGTAAAGATTCAGTAGTTAATTATTATAGCTTGACTTCAGTGTAGTTTACTATGTACTATACTTTTACCTATTTGATCTAATATAATCTTCAAAAAAAAAAAAAAAAAAGCCCATGGTATAGCACTACTAGTAACTCAATTTTACAAATAAAGGAATAGTCTTAAATAACAAATTGCTCATAGTCCATAGCTACCTAATGGGGAAACCAAAATGTTAAACCAGAAATCTCAGTTCAGCCTCTAAAGGTCTGTGCTCATTCTATCACTTAATCATCCTACTTTCAGATAACATATTTTAGTAATTTATGGATAAAATAACATGTAGAATTAATAGTAATGTTCTTAAAATAAGGCATGGGCATCACCAAGCAACCAGAGTGAATCAAGGACCCACAGAACAAGGTTGTCTAGAATCTGGTGAAATGTTTTCATCAATTTCTTAGTGAAGATGTCAGTGGCTGGCAGCACTGCTCCTAAGTGAGGATTTACTGTACTCTTGGCTGGAATAGAGTCTTATTACACAATTCATGTTCAGTCATTCACAGTAAAATTTTAGTTGTTGACATTGAAGACCAAGATAAATAATTTCCTTAGTACAATTATTAGATACATATTTGAAAAAGCTCCACCCCATTTAACTGAAAGAATTAGGTCTGGGTATCCCAAAAGAGCAACACTAGAAAAGCAAAGCAGCACCCCTATCTTAATTAGGCTTTTTTTTTTAAGTCTGTGATATGCTACAAAGTCTCTGCAACTGTTACTCTCATCAAAGATAATTTAGGAAATGACTGACTTATGTCTAAGCATTAGAAAGAGGAGAAAGCTCAGAAAAGGCCTAATCTACCCATCCTGAACTCAAAGAAGGCTACTACATATTCCATGGGCTATCCATGTGAAGTATGGTAAATGTTAAGTATGGCTCCAATGAGTCTTTTTTTTTGGAAATGAAGAACATATCCTATATGATATAAGATAAAAATAAGGTTTGAAAAATTATATTTTTGCTCTACTCTACTTTTGTATTTTTATATATAGAATTATCACACAATTATAATCCATAAGGAAGAAAGACTGTAATTATTGCATTTACAAATGGGAAAGCAAATAAAAATATTGCCAAGATGTTCATACTGGGTAATTTCTAAATAAATGGATGTTAAAATCAAATTTATCTAGGAAAGGAGATTCCATTTTACTCTCTTGAATGAAGTTAGGGAGTCCCACTTGCCTTGAACCACTGCTTTAATTCCAGGTCATTTTTGTCCCTAAAATCATCACTTACAAGTAATACGTTCAAAGTTGGTGCTTCTCTGGTCTGTAACATACGCTGTACTACTCACTCAGGGCACAAAGCTGGGACTACTGCTGTACCATCCCAGAAAGATCCACATACAAGAGAAGATTAGATAACGTTTCCCTCTGATTGAAACAAAAACTTTGATCTCAGGAATTGTGTTATCTGGTACTCTTTAAAATCCACAATCTTAAAGAAAAAAAAAACAGGTTCCAATGAATTAATAATGGCTTGAGACTCAATGCGCTGCAGCAATTTTCACTGCCGTGGTTGTTTCTTTTATAGTCACACTTGATTAGTATTAGAAATGTGGAGGAATTGCAATATGCATGGTTTTCAAAGCCCTTTACAGAATTTCATTTTTCTCACTAGGAAAGAGTCAATGAAAAGGTAATAAGAAAAGCTCTCTGGGACGTTTTTATAGGAGTGTCAGAAGCCAGTAAGCTAACTACATGAAAGAACCCAGATCGTGCAGACAGCGTTTGGAGCAGAAACACTTCAGAGACTTTATATCTAGTATTTTGACTTTTACATGTCCTTGGAGAAGAAAGTGTGCTAGCTACAAAACCAAATAAGGATGAGAAAGGAGGAAACCGTATGCTTAAGAATAATTACAGTTTCAATTTTCATAGGAAATACATGTGAAGTTTCAAAGATAAAGTGTAATAGAAATTGAGGGGGTTTGGTGTGTCTAAAATATTGGCAAGAAACAAACTTCTTATTTCCCTTGCTAGCTCATCCCAAATTTCCGCCATATGGAAGTTAGTCTGGGTAGCTTAATTGAATGCTATCAACTCCTCCACAAGTCCATTTGCTTTTGTTTTGCACTCAGTGGAGATGAAAAATATCAGATCACAATCCCTATAAACTGAACCATCATAATTCAAGCTTGCATTCAATGACTTATCTGACACTTCTTTAAATTTAAAACATCCCAATTATTTTAACCTCTTTTCAAGACAGTAATTCTTCTTGTTCATTGTTCTAGCAAAAATATCAAAATATTATTATCAAAAAAGTACAAGCAATCTTAAAATATTTCATTGGCCATGAAAGCCATAAAGGAGGTGAAAAATCTAATAATGGAAAACAATAAACATGACTATTATTATTGTGAGTGTTCAACATCATGCTTCACATAAAACTTCATTTCAATGTGATCTGCAGAGCAGGGTGATTACTTTGGCTGAGTCATATATTCCAAACAAAATAACAGTAAGAATCTGTCCATTGCACCTTTGTCATGTGGACAGTCAAACTACCGTGGTTTAACTGACCTATAGTCACATCAGTACCTGCTACTGCCGTGGCCCCACGGTTGCTCCTCTCTTTCTCTTCATCCACCAAATCATTCTGACTACCAACCGGTACTTTCGAATCCAGGCCAGCTTGATTTGGGTGAAGTTTCTTGGTTATGTCTACGTGATGACGCTGAAATGACACAAGTCAGAGTGACTGATTTCACAAGTAAATTGCCAGTCCAAAATAAATCCTTCGCAGAAATATGAAAGATTTATCACATGGCAATTCATTTCTGTATGTCTGAAACAGAACATTTGACATGTCAAAGCAAGTTACAAATTATATGTTCATCAAGATATTTTGGAAATCAAGGTGTACAATTTTTGAAGCAATCTAAGTAACTAGAATAAGAAATAATTTTTGGCATAGAAAACCATCTTCAAAGACCATTTGTGTATATTACTTTCTTCTTGTGAAGCTTTTAAAATATTTTTCATTTAGAACATTTTTATTTAGTTTTTATTCTTATAGTTAACTAACCCAGCACTTCATTATATATTACATAATTTCATATTATATGATCAAAAGCAGATTTCATTTATGTATCATCATACTCTTTATGTAAAACAAATCATAATATCTACTATAAATTAACCCACATTTTTTATCAGCATTATGCAAATTTGACAAAGCTCCTCTAGTCAATTTCAGAGTAATAATTCATCATAACAATGAATTATTAAGGCACGGCATCAATGGTCCCCATAACTCATCTCACATGTAAGAGATGTCACAGCATTTGACATTATACTGACACACTGTATGCTTCAAAAGAATCATCAGATGGGAACAAAAAGTGAAAACTTCAATTGGAAATTAAACTTCCAGCACTTAATTAATTCATACCCAAGTCCAGATTGGAAGTTTATCAATTTGAATAAGATTACAGAATATGTGAAGATTCTTAGAGTCAATATTATCTTGTCAATTATGGCCATTCAGACTAGCCATGTTGGCTCACTAAAGGATAGTATAATGGACACTTTTCCTGTAAAGTTTCTCCTATAGACCGTATATTGCATGAAATTCATTGAAAGCTTGATTTTATAAAATCAGCCGCTCTTAAAGCTTGAGAAAGGCCAATAAGGAAATTAGGCTTTAGAATGATTAAGTAATTCACTTGAGTTAACAAAATGAACAGTGCTGAGCCTTATGATATGAATCCTGAACCTCGGACAGTGTTCTTCATGATTGATTTCTTGAGATTTTTAATGCAGTGGACTGGATGCCCAGGTAGCCCTCACTCTTCACTCCTCTCTATATCCATGTCCTTTCTACAGAATTTTGCAGTGCCCTCCTATTCTGACTTTTGGCCTATTAATGTGGCTTCTTCTGGCCCAACAGGATATTGACATAGAGGCTTGAAAGAGGCTTGCACAATTGTTTTTGCTCATTCCTTAACTTCCACTATGCCATGAGACTATGCCTAGACTAGCTGGCCACAGATTGAACATGAGATGGAGAGTTAGGTCACCCCAGTTGTCCAAGCTGAAGCAAACAACAGCCAGGGGAGCCCCAGACATTTGGGTGAAACCAGTCTAGATCATCTGAGACCAGCTCAAGTCAGCTGAATTCCACAGCTTCATGAGCAAAATGAATGTGATTTTGGTCGTATGCCATTATGTTTTTCGGGTGGTTATGCAGCATTGTATGCTGATAGACAACTGGTACATTCAACCACCATCTATCTATAGTATCCCAGATAATGGATGTGGTGTGAGAATACAAACATAACATGACATTCTCTCAGACTCCAAATTATTAAAACACAATTTCTTACATTGTTTATGCAGATAATTAAAATAGAGTGTGGTAAGTCATTTGCAGATATTTCTCAAATTCCTTTTCTAATGGCAAAGGAAGGGATCCTAGCGATACTACAAAAGACAGCTCACAAGATCAGTTTGGATGTTGGTATTGACTAGAACTAAACCATCCCGCTTGTTTATTTTTAGCTCCTCCACAGCCCACAGAAACATAAGTCCATCACTGTAATTTTTAAAATTTATTGTCAGGCCTCTATTATCATGTAGTTTTTGGAAAGAAGCAGATTTCAGTATCCAACTACTTTCCTGATTCTGAATTAGACACCTTTGAAAAGGTTATTATTATTTCAAGTTATGACATGAGTACTAAATCATAGTTTCTCAGAACTGAGCAAGGCAATAGATTAAAGAAGGAATAAGCTTCATGTTTGTTCATACCAAATTCAATTGAAAATATTAAAACATTGAGGGAAAGTTAAGAATTCATGCAAGTTATGTATATTCTAATATATTCCAGACTGAAAATAAAAGAAATGCTGAGCTTATTTACTCATGAAAGGATTTTTGTGAAAGCCTGAGAGAGAAAACAACCCCTTGATCAGAATAGGTTCTGAATTGTAAAGGTCCTGTGCTTCCTGGTGCAAACCTCTGGCAGACTGGACATTTTATAAACATATTAGTGTTCAGTAATTAAGAGCCTCATTTTCCTGGAAACAGTTCCCACATGGAGTCTCTTCTTAAGTAAGCCCTGTCAGATTTTCCGACTTCTCTTTTACGTTACATATTATAGCCAAGCTGCTGTTCCCAGGTCCTAATGTAAAGGGAGATAGGTGTCTCTTAAGTTATTGACCCTGCCACACTCCCTCTTCCTTGTTTACTTAGCCCCTCCATCTAGTTCCCTGGGTCTGCACATTATACCCTGGCATCTCTTTTCTGCTACAATAAAATTCCTACAGTGTTTCATTCTTAATTACCCAACTGCCCTCCACTAACCCTCAATTCTCTCTTCCCTCTCCCCTTTCCTATCTCTCAAATTCTTCCACCATGCCTTGATAACTTTGCTTCATGGTTTGCAAACTTCACTACATATTCAACTTCTTTTCTGAACATTGTCTCTACCTTCTTACCCTGACTAAAATCTCATTCTTCTTTGAAGACACCACTTCCTCTGTGAATGATACCGGCTGCTTATTCTTCCTCATCCCCGTTACCCTTAAGTGGAGGATCCCCTTCCCTGAGTGTTGTCCATTGCACCTTACCTCCTTGCAAATGTGCCTGCTGCTTTGATATTCCTGGCATCTAGCTATGCGCCATCTCTCTTCTTGTTGGTATCATCTCTCTACTAATCTCTATGCATCTTTCAAAAGAAGTCTTTGGCACCTGGACTGTTGTCCAGCATCTGATGTAGCCTCAGCATCGCCATGATCTTGGACAATATCCACATCTACATAAACATTCTATCTTATTCATCCCTGGATCTCCTTATTACAAATGAACTTCTCATTCTTTCTAACTCATGCTTTCAGTCCCAAGATCACATTTGAAGTCTATCATCAGCTGAAATGTTTCCACCTCCAATATTAAGTATGTTCCTCTTTCACTTCTTCTCCTATCCTCAAGTTTATTCCCTCCAATCCAGCCAAATCACCTTCTCTACGACTGCTTTTTCCACAATTTCTGCCAAGGCTATTCGTGGACTTCACTGGCATCTGAGATCCACTAATCCCTTTACTTTCTCTATATCCATCACCCCCTTGCTCTTTTTCCTTTCTTCTCTACCCAGCATCCATTTCTGTTCAGAAACTTCAATCTGGCCAATAACCGGCCAGACTTCAACTTGTTTTACCTCTCAGCAGCATCTGACATGTCTGGTCACCTCCTTCTTTTGGCTTCTGATGTCCCTCCTACCACTCTGAGTGCTTATTCTTAGTCTCCTTTGCTGGAGTATCCTTCTTAACCAAACATTGAGTGTCAAGAGGTCTCAAGGTTCTGTTATTCTCCCAGTTTTCTTTTTACCATTCCTAGATAATTTCAGCAATCATGTGGCTTGACCTACCACCTGTACGTTTATGACTCCAGTGGGGAGGTAGAGATTTATGAAATGAGATGAGGTAGGTGTAGAGAGGCAGGAGCTTGTATGCCTTAGTAAGCACTCTGGACTCTAATTCTAACATCCTTTCAGGTCCACAATCTCATCACACTTCCTTCCTGTCTGAAGGCTTGGCTATTCTGTTTGCCTAGGACATTCTTAGTAAAATTTCCCCCTTAATATTATGAAGGCTTGGGTTCCTGCAAGTATCACTCACTGTATAAACCTTAGCCAGTGCCCTATTTTCTAGTCTTTGTGCACCTTGTACTTCTACTGTAATGTAATTTTTATAATTACAATCAAATAATAGCTGTTTTCATGTTTAATGTCTATCTCCCTGGCTAAAATAAAAGTCCCTGGAAGTAAAAACTATGCATGCCCTGTTCACTGTCCCGAGCTCTTATCTCAGGGTTTTAAATATAGTAGGCATTAAATAACTACACATTAAATAAATAGGCAAATTCATGAATAAAACATGACTTAATTTTTATGACTTTTTCTTTAGCCAGTTATCAATAGCCACTGTATAGTCACACTCCCATGCATAAGCAAGTTTGTGTATATCATCACTCCTAACAGTACTGCTTATCATTATGTGTTGGTAGATAAAATGCAATTACATTTTACCTTGTTTTATCTATAAAAAACACATATTCCAAATCCTGTGCTTTTAAATAAACTCATTACTGAAATCATGCAGAACTATATACAGTATCCCATATAGCTCTGAATCAAATTACATTGGTCAACCATCTATGGAAGTTATAAATCTGAGAATTGTTATGTTAGAGAAAGTGAAAATTGAGAACTAAGTATGTAAACACAGCAGCCTCTATTACCCTAGGTGTGTGAATGTGGTCTGACAACAACTGGAGAAATAAAACCCTCTGTCAGGTCCTGCTTCTGTGATGTCAAGTCTTCAACCTGAAGGTTGGGTCCAGAGGAAAATAAGAAAATTAAAATGTCTGCAAAGAATGGAGAGGAACATAGATAAATTTGAACTGCCATGCATCAAGCCTCTGTGACCACGCTGTAGTTGTACTTCAAAAATAAGGTTCTGTTTATTCTATGTAATTTCCATTTAACTTGTTATTAGAAATGAATCATTACAATCCTGTCTGCTAATTTGAAATGACTATTAAATTATTTTTATGTATTTCTTGGCTTGTAGTTTGCACGTTGTTTTTAATATTCCTGCTAAAGGTAATGATGCAATTATAAGGTACTGAATATTTGTCTCACAAAGAAAGGAACAAATAAGTATTACCAAAAAG